GCCTTAATGTGCAGGGTGACCAATCAGGTGTTAGATAACACCTGATTGGTCACATGACACATTTATATATTTAATTCCTTATTTATTTTATGAATTACACATTTAATTAATTGTTTATCGCTGTATTTATTTATTTAATTGTGGCACTTTATATTAGTGACGTGGTTTTAATTAACTGAATGACACATTTATTTATTTAATTCCACATTTAATTAATTATTCACACATTTAATTATTTATTTAATGCTGTATTTATTTATTCAATTTTGGCACTTTTTATCCTCCATAATTTACTGCACCTAGAAAAAAACATTCTTACTCTTACTTCTTATGTTTGTCAGATTTCAACCTTAATCATTGAAATATTTATAGTTTTTGATGTGATTGGCCAACACAAACTAGTGCATAATTGTAAGTTGGATTGTTGGGATAAGAGTCTTTAATAAACCCTTTGAGTCAATATTTATGAAACCACTATTTAGCACAGTTGCAGCTGCAGGACTTTAGTGTTTTTTTCTGTAGCAGCTGTACACATCTAGAGATTAGATTGTTTGCTCATCTTTCTTTGTAAAATCACTTTTCCTCTTATTAGAGGAAGAGATGATTCGATGTAAAGCGTTCCTTTGTAGCTCTGTATGTTTAGAGCCGTCGTCCAGCTGGAGGGGGAACTTTTGCTCCAGCCTGAAGTCTTTAATCTTGCAGAGGTGGTTTTTTTTTTTACCTTTTCACAAAAAATAAGGGCTTGATCTTCATTTTTATTTGATTTCAATTCAATCTTTTTATATGGTCCCAATTCACAACACATAGCATCTCAAGGCACTTTACAAAGACAACGCAGTCAGATTGGTAAAAAATGTCTATCTGATTGCATAGAGTCATTGACTTGCAGGACATGATCCTCCTGGATGAGCTCGCAGCAGCGATATTCGCTTACATTTTGTTGTTGACTCTTCTGCAAACCCTCACACCCAATCTCTGACCGTGACTGGCTGGATGTGCTCTCTTCATCCTTCATACCTTATTTTTTTCATAGAAACTATATTCCAGTGAATGTGAACAGTGAAAGAGAGGCTTCTCTCTATCACCCTGCAGAGAGGTGTTGGCTGCGCTGCAACACCTTTGTTTCTACACTGCAAAAAATTTCAATCTTAATGAGGAGGTTTCTTGAATTGAGGAGGTAAGTGAGACACTTTGCCAATGGAACAAGATCATTAACATTTAAAATAAGAAAAAAATAATTGCAT